TATTATTCTTTTTTTTTTCAATGCAGCTAAGTTTATTTTTATAAGAATTATATTTTATGTATATGTGTATATATATGTGTGTTGATATCTTCTCATTTTTAGCAATTCTCGAAAAGTTTTCGTAAATGTTCTAAATACACTTGAACAATTCGTGTAATTTAGGAAAGATTAACAAATTGGAAACAATCAAACAATTCCATGTGATATAATAGAATTCACAAGCATTCAAAAACTTTGCTAGAATTCCTGTATATCAGCTTAAAATGTAAATTACACAGAAATATATATATATAAAAAAAAAGAGAAATGATTAACAAACAGAAAATGCCCTAATTTAATCTTGTGTGTTATTGTGTGAGGGCTTTTCTTGAACATGCCCAAATCTTGTGTGGTATTATAGGCAGGCTTATCCTTAAAATGATGTGGATATTCTTATTGCTATTCAAACTGCATATATGTGCGTGGGTGTGTTGTATTGGCTGGTGTTTTGGGGGAGGTGTATACGTGCGTGTGCGTGTGTATTCTCTTGGGCTACTTATTTGACGAAAGCCTCGGGCGGAATTTTGTTTTCCTTGAACAGTTTCTCGAACACAAAGGCGGCATGGTTGAAGTCCCAATTCGTCTCCTCTAAGCATCTGAAATGCATAACAATAAATGTGAATTTGGAATATATATCGTATACAGGTGTGGTATGGCTATATTGCTGCCCTGGCTACGCACTTGCGACTCCAGTCCAGATTCATTTGACTCTGTGCACTCATCGCTTGCACCATTTGCATTTTGGTGGCATCGTTGAGGGCAGCCGCATTGCCGCCAGCGGGCACGGCAGTTGGATTCGATGGAGACGGTGTTGCCAGCAGGGCAACAGGAGCGCCAGGCACTGCCTGGCTCGGTTGCAAACGATTCTGTATTGATCCCTCGGCCACGGCTGCTGCCCCGATCGGTGTTAGGCCAACGGCCATGTCGGCGCCTGGCGCTGGCTGATGCTGTGTGCGCTTGAATTCGCGTGTCTGCTCGCAAGTGGCACTGTTTAGGAAGATCGTCTCGTTGCGAATGCAAAAGCCCGAGTTCTGTGGCACCACCACAAAGGTGCGCATAAAGTGGCGCAGCTCGTAGGCCTGCATGTTGCTGGGCGTCCCAGCGCTCGTATCGCCAGTTAGCTCCTTGAACAGTCCGGTCACCGTGAATAACATCATTTGGGGCTGCAGAGAAGAGAGATTCGATTAGCACAATTTCCGACTGTGGCTGCTGCTGCTGCTGTTGCTACTGCTGCGACTCACATTGTATATGGTCAGGTCGACCGTGAAAGTGCGACGTTCGTGCAGTGTACGTGGCCATTCGTCCAGTGTGGACACACAGGCAAGCCGTCCGCTCTTCAAAAGGCGTATGCGTAAATCTTCACGTTCGCTGTTTAGGCGTCGTAGATTGCGATTGAATTTCCAGAAGTTATTCAGTCTACTAGATCAGCGAGACAAACAATGAGTTTAGGAGGGTCAGGTCAGGTCAGGAGAGCTATAGCGGACTTACCTGCCCGACTGGCTGACGGAGGGCATCGATATCGAGAGCATTGCATGCTCGTGATACGCATCCAGCAGCGGCTGGCGATTATCCGAATCGAAAATGCTAAAGTATTGATCCAGGAATTGGCGCACCACATCGGCGCCAGCGCTGTCGCATAAAAAGGATGCCTTGGCCGGTGGCAGCACCGACGATTCGTTCAAATCGAAATGGACCTGCGGCGGCAGCGTTTCCCCATCCTAAATCATAATGATTAGCATCGGTGGTATCATCATCATCATCATCATTAGTAATGCATAATTAATGAATGAATGCACTCAGCATTCTCATGATTCGCTTCACTTACCAGTTTCAGGATTTTAGGGAATTTACGTCGTACTTCACTGTAAATAGTTTTGCAGTTGGAATTGCATCCGATTTTTGTTTGATGTTGTTGTTGTTGTTGTTGTTGTTTTTGTATTAGTGGTGTGCAGTGTGCATGCATACGTACACGCAAATGTATAGATGCGGCATACATACGCACACACGCACACACACACAGGTATATATATGTCGAATGAATGAATTAGTTAAACAATAATACATATATATACAAAATATCAATGCAATTCAATGGCAATTTACATACACATGCACATGTGTATGCATAATTACTTGCCCCACTGTCGCCTTGCCATTTCGAAATGCATTTTGGCACCTGTTTCGCTTGCATAATAAAGCAATTCGAATTGCATATAGAAAACTTTGAAGCAATTGCAATTGGCTTTAATTGGCGCTGGTTATAAAAAAAACCCTAATGCGCAAAAGGCCTGGAGTTTTTAGCAATAATTTAATATTGAAGCAGAGCCAAACTTTTAGGCCGTTTTTTTGTTTTT